AATTATTATAATATTACTAACTAATACTATCTAATATACAAGATATAATTAAAGTACTATAGTATAAATAATTATGAATAGGTTATGTTAAAGCATGTTGAAAGATATCAAAGAATATTAAAGAATATCAGAGTATATGAAAGAATATTAAAAGATATGAAAAGATATGAGAAGACGTGAAAAGATATAAAAGAATATGAGAGAATATCAAAAAATATCAAAAAATGTAAAAAGATATTTGAGATCATTATTCAAGTATAACTATTCTATCAAAATCAAAAATAATCTTCTACTATACTATTCTATTATGTACATAAATATTATATTACAAGATAATAAAAATATAGATCCTGAATATTAAATAAAATATAATGTTAAAAATAGATATGTAATAATAAATAAAGTAATAAATAATATAGAAAATAGGAATAATTATAAATAAAATTATAATAAAATGTAATTTTTCATAACTAGAAAAAAATTAAGAAATTAAGAAATTTTATGTTACTATAATAATAATATTATTAAAAAAATAGTTTAATATAGAATATATTAATAAATTCTAAATAAATTAAGATATATCAATAAGTTATTGACTAATAAACTAAAATAAAAATAATTTATTAATCTTAATAATATGAGAGTATAATAAGAATAGTAAAAAAAATTTAATTATAAATAAGAAAAACTTTAAAATAAAAGCAAGCTAGAATTATAATAAGAATTAAATTAAATAAAATTATAAAATAATTCATTATTATAATAAAAAAATCTTATTAAATAAATAAAAATTATTATTCTTTTTAAATAAATACATATATTTCTTTAAATTATTATTAATCTATTCCTATACTCTCTATTAATAAAGTAATTTATTTTAAGATTACAAATATTAAATAATAAAATAATAATATCATAATTGATAAATTATCTTTTTAAGTAGAAACTAGTATCATAACTTAAAAAATTTGATTAACTTAATAAAGAATTAATATATTGATCAATAAAATTATAAATTAATAAAAAATTAACTGAAAAATAATTCATAATCATACAGTTTCACAAATTATTTAATAGATTTCTCACATTAATAATTTTTAATATTATGTATTTTACATATTTTATATTTTTTAAAACTAGTATTATAAGTATTTATAATAAAAAATATATAAAAATAATAATAAAAAAACTTAAAATTAATTAAGAATTCATAAAGTAATTAGAAAAATACAAGAAGTAATTTAATTCAAAATATAAAACCAACTGAAAATTCATTTAAATAAAATATTTAAATAAATAAAAAATAATAAAAAAAAATAAAAATCAAGAAAATAATTAATTAAACAAGAAATTATTAAAAATAATCTAACTTAAAAAATCATATAAATTAATTAAGAATTCATCCAGATAAAATAAATGATAAAAAAGAAGAAAAAATAAAGAAAAAAAATCAATTAATGATAAGTTACATACTAGTGCATAAATGTTAAATCACATGTTATGACGAAATAAAATCACGTGATATGCACAAAAAAAGGTTCAAAATTCATTTTAATCTGCCACAAAAAATAATTTTCGCGTATAATAAGTTCAAAGCTGAATCTTTTTTAAAAAATGCCTTTTTTCAAAACGCAAGTTGCAATTAAAAAATGCACTTGAATCACTTGCCAAAAAGCGCAAACTGAATTTGCGCGAAAAACTTGTCAACGAAAAAACAAATCATTTAAAAAACCACTATTCAAGAACTTAAAGCGATACATGATATAATCTTTAATGCATCGAACCTTATGAAGACTCACCCGAATATGGCAGCTGATACTTAACAATTCAAAATGCACTTTTCAGAAACTGGAATAAAAAATTTCAATTCACTAGCAGACAACTAAAAGACATTCGAAGCGAGAATAGAATAACTTACCAACAAGACTCTAATACATTAATTATCCAATCAGACATACGAGAACAAAATGCTAATAGTCTGTTTTAAAGAATTGAATATGTAAATTCCTATCCGTTCGATGGAACGCTTTTTTTTTGATTAAATTTTTTCATTACACAGATCTTGAATTCTATTGGCCAAATAATATAGCGGGAGCATAAATATCGAATAATACGTAAATTGTACTATTGATTTTTACTATTATACCTTACATAATTTTGATCAATTGAAATATGAAATACCCCAACGTTTTACGGTAATCTATTTGTAAGAGACATTGATTTTAGAAAGGGACATTATTATTGTAACAAAAATAGATCTCAGTTAAAAATTCAATGCTATAAAGTTTTTTTAAGCTTTCAATAAATTTGCTTGAGCGTCTAAATAAATCAAATTTTATTCTTTTACATCGAGATTACTCAACACTTGTACAGTAAATTCAAGTTCCTTATTCAAGGCAGATCCATCGGTCTTCTCTACTTTTTGTGAATTTTCAGTCGTCGTTATTTGTATAGCAGGCGCATTATCACATTCTTTCAGATTGCTATTATCATTGTTTCCTTTTAAGATCCCGTTCGTCTTCTTTTCATTTACTGATGCCAGTAATTGTGGAAAAAAGTCATTCATTATTGCATCCAATTCTTCAAGAAGCGACGAATTTCTCCGTTTAATGTATTTAGCGACTTTTGATTTACCGCCATTAATATTATTATTCGTAATAGGATGTTTCTTTGAAAAGTTAATAGAAAATGGTGGTGTTCGAGTATTAGAAGGGAGTGGCCTTCTGGAGGCGACGAATGAAGAAGAAGTGATTAATGGCGTGCTTGAAATATGTTTTTGAAAGCGAACGATTTGTCTTGATTTTTTAGTTTGCGGCATGATAAACTAAATAGGCTAAAAAACCATCGATACGATGATCATCTAAAAATAAATTGATCCCCACCATTATTATCAAGATTTATGCGAGGCGCTTGAAGCGTACATTAATTTTATTTACTTGAGTAGGCCCTTGCTTTTTTGCTCAAAAATTTTAATTCCAATTTTTGAATTTGATCCATGTCCGTCTCTAAAAATAAAGCAAGAACAGTCTTATTTAATGTACCTGAAGAGGAAGAAACTAATAATAATAGTTTTGAATTAAATAGTTTACATGCGGTCGAAGATGTGGCTGACTATTCCGATAATGATCAAGACGAAGACGACGAAGATTCTAACGATGACAACGATCAATCAACCTTTCTAAATCAAACAAGCGGTAATAGCTCTACCACAAGTACACATTCACGAAGATTAAGTGAAATTCTGGATTACGATGACAACTTAATACCACTCTCTTTAACCGAGACACAACGACGTCCTACACACCTTGAAAAAGAAGTATCGTTTTGGAATGGGGTGAGTTTGATTGTTGGCTTAATGATTGGTTCAGGAATATTTGCTTCGCCTGGACCTGTAGCGGAACATGCTGGCTCTGTAGGAATGTCTTTGATTGTGTGGGTTGCATGCGGTTTATTAGCTTGTACCGGTGCGCTTTCATATGCGGAATTAGGCGCGGAAATACCGCTTTCGGGAGGAGATCATGCTTATTTATCGCATGCATATGGTAGTTTGCCAGCATTCTTATTTAGTTGGACAGCAATTACATGTCTAAAGGTAAGTGAAATTTATTCGTTGACATTTTTCTTTGCATTGCATTCGTACTAAGGATTTATTTTTCAATAGCCAGGAAGTAATGCGATCATTGCCATGATTTTTGCCGAGTATATTAATCGTATTATTTATCATACCGCGTTTGAAAAAGAAACTGATCATCCAAGCAATGAAACTCATCAATGGTTCAATAAAATAATGGCATCAGTCTGTATATTGATCATCTCGTTCATAAATGTGTATAGTGTGCGTTTAGCCACTCGTACTCAGGATTTTTTCACGGCGGTGAAATTAATTGCGCTTGCAGTCATTGCAATAATTGGTTTTGTGGTATTAGGAAAGGGTGGGATAACGGAAAATTTTGAAGGAGATTTGTTTGCAGGCAGCTCGGAGACTTTAGGAGATTACGCTCTGGCTTTTTATTCAGGTTTGTAATCGATTTATCATGTAGGTGTGGCTTTGTGTGATGTGTTGGTTAAGTTTTTAATATTTTTTGTATTGACTCAAATTCAAAGTTTGATTGAAATTAGGACTTTGGGCTTACGATGGCTGGTGAGGAAGAATCTTGCTTACATTTGTTATTGTTTGATTTATTTATCTGATTTTTTCCCGAATTTTTATGTTATTAGGAATAATGTAAATTTCGTTGCTGGAGAAATGAAAAATCCTTCGCGTGATTTACCACGCGTTATTATGCTTGGCCTACCGATGGTGATAATATTTTATTTACTGGCAAATGTAGCATATTATGCTGTATTACCATCGAATGTGGTCAAGAATACGAATACAATTGCATTGGTAAGTAAAGTTTATACTACCTATACATATAGCAACTTATCTTGTATCCCGATTTCATTAATGTTGATAATGTTAAATAATAGGATTTTGGCAAAAAGATTTTCGGTGCTACAGGAGGTTTATTATTCGCTTTATGTGTAGCAGCTAGTTGTTTTGGTGCAGCAAATGGAAGTATATTCACCGGTGGGCGTGTTATTTACGTGGCAAGTCGTGAAGGATATCTTCCCTCGATTTTTGGCAAAGTACATCCAAAATGGAATACCCCGACGGCCGCATTAGCTATGCAAGCTTCTTTAACAATCTCAATGATTCTTGCGGGCACTTTTGCGACATTGGTTAATTTCTATTCGATTGCCGCTTGGGTATTTTATTTTTTGACGTCTTTTGGATTGTTGATTCTGCGGTGGCGTGAACCCGATTTACCACGGTAACTTTTATTCATATTTTTATCGATCTTTTTATAAATAAAAAATAACCGGATTCCTTATGGATGGAATCAAATAGACCATATCGCGTCTGGATAAGTACACCAATAATTTTCTGTTGCGTGGCCGTGTTCCTTGTGGTTATGCCGTTTACGCGAGTTCCACTCGAGTCATTGGCTGCATTAGGTTTCATTTTGGCTGGCGTCCCGTTTTGGGTTATTCGCGTTAAACATAAAGATACTTTTTCGATTCAAGGCAAGAATTAAATAAGTTTTTTTCTTTGTTTAACTTGGATCAAAATACAAATAAATATATTATTTATAATTGAATGGAATTTAGGTTTCAAAAAATCCGTAACAAATATCTCGCAAAGTTTTCGTACATGGCGTACGAAGCAAGAATATCGAAAACAGGAAACGGTCGAAATGACATAGCGTTTTGATTGCCTAAAACAATCTAAAGAAATGAACGAATCACGAATGCGAATGTTTATGTGTATCGCATCGGGTGTGCAGAATTTTTGTAAATTTTAATTTAATTAGTTTGAAAAATCGTTTTTGGCTTTTTTTGTTATAAAAAATAAAAATTAATAAATAATTTCTTCGAAGGAAACTGAAGTAATTTCATATCTAAATCTTCAATTTGTCTACATGAAAATACATTCAATTATATTTTATTTGCTCAAGAATATTTGTTTTCTATATTCTTCATTACATCTTAATCCTGTCACATTATATATATTATTATTATAAAGTATTTAAATACGTGAAAAAAAAGAATAATGTTCGTTTAATATTTCGATCCTTCATTCATTTATTTCAGGCTTTCTTCAGCGAACGAAGCAGCAAATAAAATAAATAAGTCCATTATGCTCTATCAGATCCAGTCTTCTTTTTCGTGTTCTTTTTATTTTTCCGATTTTTTGCACCGCCAGTTGCTGTTGCAGATGACTCCACCTCCACATATTCTTCCTCGGTTACCGCATCTGCGACTGATTTATCTTTGGTTTCTTCCTCTTCAGTATTCTCATCGCTGGTTTCCTTTTTTGTTTTTGTCGCTTTGTTACCCTTTTTCCTTTCTTGTTCTTCGGCCTCTTTCTTTTTCTTTTCCTTTTCCTTGTCGGACTCTGAAGAATATTTGAATATGTCTTTGAGCTCTCCTCTTATAACACCTGTGATTAGAACAGAGATAATGCAAGCCGGGGATAGGTATAGCAATGCAGGTTGGGCAGCTTTAAAAGTGTGCATTACGACAATAGTGGTTATAAGACCTATGATGTAAGCCGCAAAACAACTATTGAAGTATGTGGTTGGAAATGAAGAGTGTTTAGTGGCGGTTGGGTTTTTTTTCAAATATAGGTTATGATCAAATCTTAAACAGAGCGCGACATAAATTCCTGCCAAAAAAATGGAATGGGAAAATAAACAGGAAATAAAGAGTTTAATCATACATTTATTAGTTACATACATCAATTCAATTACAATATTTAAAAAAAAAGGGTAATTACCAGGAACGACAATATCACCCAATCCAAGCATCGTGAATTGTAATGCTTCGTCCGATTCCAAGCCAATAATTTTTTTTGGCCATACCACTTTTATGGGTGCATCAAAACTTTTCGCCACTGTGACCATCACCTCAGTACCAAACACCCAGAAGATATCGTAGAAAAATAAGCCGCCCAACAAGATCATCCCAGTTTTGAATGAATCCAACGATAACATTTTTATGCCATTGAAAGCGAAAGCAAGACCGAACAGATTTGAAGCAATCCAATTTTTTGTTACGATATAATACGCAGTGAGGAAAAACGACAAGATAAGCGCGCCAATGTGTATCACGGTGAAGCTTGCCCTATAGATTTCTATTTGAGTGTTAGTTAATTCTTGATTTACGAAAAAAAAAGATTCGAATTCATTCAATTGATAGATTATTCGTGTAGTACCTTTGGATTTTTTTGTTAGAGTAAATTTATATGCGTCTGCTTTGATCCCGGAGAAATTTCGTACCATATGAGCACCCAAACTGGTCAACGCGATGATCCCAAGAAACGAGAAATATGCATTGACCAAATAGTTCACGTAATCTTTATCCAGTAATTTGAAGATAAGATACAGTGAAAATAGTACTATAGAGCCGAAAACCGGGAAAAGATAGGCATCCTCAGTTGATAATGACTCGATTGTCTCTTCTTCGTCCGAAGAATCTGATTCAGGGGGTTGTGGTTCTTTTTTAGATTTCTTTTTCTGGTTAGTTATTATGAGTTACGAGATAAGGAAAAGTTAGAGTTTTGAATCAATCTAGAACTTTCTAGGATAATTTTTACTGCGTTTCATTATTTTCTTACCTTTGGCCACTTTATCGAAGCAAATGACCCATAGTATATTGGCCCCACCGCCATACTACACAAGGCAAGATACGCTACAAGCAAGCCTGTTTCCATCTCGTATTTTTGTGTGATAGTTGTTCAATTTTAAATGCGAAGAGGGAAAAGGGAAAATATGAAAAGAATGTAGGGATATTTGAAGAATTTATTGTTCTTGGCTATGTAAAAAAAATTTGATGTGTTGATTTTTGATTGGTATACAGTAAGTAAGTATTCAAAAGTTTTTTTATTTATGTACGTGATTTTGCGCATGAGTCCTAACATAACAAGTTAAAAGAAAATCATTGAAAATCCTCTTTCTAAATTCCTTGCAATTTCAAGACCACAAAGTGTATTACTAATGTAGTGTGCACACCATTTGCCTTTATCTTTTATCCGAATAAGAAAATGTGTACCACTCCAATGTAATATTAACATATTTAGTATAAGGACATTTGCTACCTCGTTCTTGTGCTATATTTTTTTGGCTATATCGATATTAGGATTTTAATTCGACATTTTTAGAGATGAGTCATTTTAATTGTATTTTGCGATATTAATAAGTCCTTTTCAATCTTACGATTCCCAATGTCCGCATCTTTTTCCTTCTCTTTAATACATTTACTCATACATTGTCCTAATCGGAATAATTGCCATCCGACTATTGGATGAACTCGTGGATACGCGATCAAATATGTTGCCAGAATTCAAGAGTATCAAAAGCTTGTAAATAATTTTTAATTGCGCATACATATTATCTAAGAAATTTTTGAATTTTCTCATTATGATCTAATTTTTCTGGAATTACAAAAAGAAATCACATGCTATTTCTTGAAAAATTCTCTTGTTCATTGATTGCGTAGTACTAGCATAGAGAGCCGTACAGTTCACTTGCTCAGAATAAATAGCGAGCAACTTAATTTTTCTTTTCTGCAAGTGATTATTGCTTTGACTTTCACAATCTTTCTTTTTATTTTCCTTTTCAGCAGTTACATCATTTTTTTATTTCATTATAAACCGCATAAGCCGAAGAGAATTCCATAATTGACCAGCTCATACTAAGAATTAAAAGTTAATATATAATAAAAATTTTAAAATTATCATTATATAACTTACCTTTTGATCTTCAATGACTGTTAATCCTTTAAAGCACAAAGTTGATCGATAGTAGCATAAGCTCGATAATCGCCCAATCCCTGCATGTTGTATTTTCGAGATACTTATTTATAATTGGTTCGAACATCTTTACTGTAAAATAGAAGTGTGATGAGTAACTAAAACGCACAATTAAAATATATAAGCAAATTGTCAAAAAAAGTCAACGGTATACAGGGAACAGCATATAGGGGGAGGTAATGAACACGCGTGCTCAAGGACATTCCTAGACGGTGCTTCCAAACATCTGGCGCAGGACGTAGTGGCCATACGCCAGTAGAGATGTACGTGACTGAAACTTTACCAGGGAGTTTAGAGAGTTACGAAGATTAACCTTATTCTTTACGTTATGTCTCGAAGAATTCAGTTACGGCCAAAACAAAATTTGAGATGTGAAACTTGCTATCTTGGAAATTATATGTCAAGCAAATACTATTAACGCATTATACGCTTGTTTATTATAGTTATGCGCTTATTTATCCAAAACAAATTTTTTAAATGACGCGTTTCTCAAATATATAAAAGGGGGGGGGGGTTCTCTACCACAAAGAGAGTAAGTTTGAATTCTTTTGAATTTTTTTATATATGACATTGTCCTGTCTTCTCCTTTTCTCTCTAAGAAATGTGCGCCTTCGGGGAGTGCCTCACTTCTCTTCGTAAGAGTATTTTGGGAGTAGGACTATTTGGTAAAACTTACCGTAGTTCGATAGATTTTATCTTAAAATTTCGTGTGATGATTGAAGTCTTTTATTAAATTATTCAATTATGAAATTGGTTTAATATTTATCTATGAACTGCAATCAATGGTACATGCTGCGATTATTGAACTATTCACTTCACCTATCCTGTCAACTTCTATATAGACCTATTCTCATTATGAATTACAATCATTGCTAGACTATGAAAATAATTCAAAGGAAATACAATTGATAGTGTTCTTGAAAAAGAATTATCTTTCAGAGAACATAAATTCAAATTCACATAAAGTACAACGACAAGCTCTGATAACAGATGATAGTTTGGTTCAATCAGCAAGAAGGCTTGGTTGTGGTGAGAGCAGTACCGGAGTGGGTTATATGTTAATATAAACTGGAATTCAGGAGAATTAGCAATATATGACGGAAATCCGAATATATATTATGGAAAAACGTGACGTATATCGACTTTATCTTTTAAAATCATTCAATTTACCCTTGTCTTATTCATCTTACAACAATTCACGTCTTGTTCTATCGTGGGCATGGGAATAAAATATTAAAGTAAGGATTATTTTTGACGTTATTTAATCATTTTCAGAGGGTTACTGTCATATTTTTCATATATTAATAAGTATTTCTTTTAGAATCTTGTCGAAAATCTATCATTTGAATTGGATGATAAAAATTTATTATTTCTACAACTCCTGAACATGATCCACCGAAAACTGATACAACACCGGACAGATCAAAAAAGAAAAAGTTTGATAATATAGAAAAATTATAAAGATTAATTAAAATTTAAATAATTTTTATTAGAAGTAATTATTAATTTTTATATTAAGATATAAATCTTTTGTACTAATTCATATAAATTTATAAAGGTCTTTTATTAACTAGGAAATGGTGAGTCCGGAGCGATAAATTTTTTAATTGGTTTATTTATAATCAGTCACGTGGCGTGACAACCGGAAACTCCACGTGACAATCAATTTTTCACATATTGCAGAATAATATATAGTCCTTCACTTATACTCCAGACAATGAATACTACACAAATAATGTAAATTTTATAATAATGATATGTTCCGGTGCAAAAAGATTGGTATACCAATATAAAATCAATAATTGCTTCTAATAAAAATCATTCAAATTTTAATTAATCTTTATAATTTTTTTATATTAAATAAAGAATGATCTAAATTTATACTATTTTAATTATACTTTAATTTAATAATAAATAAAGCATTACTTTACTAAAAAAAACTAAAATAAAATTATTTTTTTTAAAAAA